GCATGCAGTTCTGAGCAAAGGGCCAACTGTGTCTAGAGAAAACACCAATATAAGGTTCCTCTGCTACTACAATGAGGTGCATGTATTCACCTAGTTGTGCTTACAGGGGTTGAGCTCTGCTCTTTTGGCCCGCCTCTTAACTGTCAATCAACTGTTACTAACTACTAGATAAAAAAAAATTTGTGTGTGTGTGATTAACTTATTGTTAATCACACTTTTCCAAAACTAGAAGACAGAAGAAAAAGAGGTGATATGATCACTACATACTAAATAGTAACAGGAATTGATAAAATTGATAGGGAAGATTTCCTGAGACCTGGAACTTTAAGAACAAGAGGTCATAGATTTAAACTAGCTAAACACAGATGCCGAAGAAATATAAGAAAATTCACTTTCGCAAACAGAGTAGTAGATGGTTGGAACAAGTTAGGTGAGGTGGTGGTGGAAGCCAAGACCGTCAGTAGTTTCAAAGCATTATATGACAAAGAGTGCTGGGAAGATGGGACACCACGAGCGTAGCTCTCATCCTGTAACTACACTTGGGTAATTACTGTATTAGGGGGCCTGGTAGCCTGATGGATAGTGCACAGGACTCCTAATTCTATGGCGCGGGTTCGATTCCCGCACCAGGCAGAAACAAATGGGCAAAGTTTCTTTCACCCTGAATGCCCCTGTTACCTAGCAGTAAATAGGTACCTGGGAGTTAGTCAGCTGTCACGGGCTGCTTCCTGGGGTGTGTGTGTGTGTGGTATGGAGGAAAAAAATAGTTAGTAAACAGTTGATTGACAGTTGAGAGGCGGGCCGAAAGAGCAAAGCTCAACCCCTGCAAACACAACTAGGTGAATACTGAAATAACCAATAACAAATTGAATGTACTGTATGTACTCACTCACATCTGAATGTTCATCAGTAAGTTCTTCTCATACACAATTCTCTTTCAGTTCGTATTTCTACTATTTCTCCTCGTGTTGTTCCTTCTTTGTCCCCGTGGAGAGTCCCCCTTCGGCAGTTTTGTACATCCTTAACCCGCATCACTAAAGCTTTTACCCTCCTATGGTTCTAAAACGCCTTTTCCTTGAGCACTTTTCTTCTCACTCCCGTTCCGTTTCCATCTTCACCGATGGGTCTAAGTCTGCGGACGGTGTAGGCTACTGTTGTTTTTCCTAATTGCACTTATTAGTGTCGCTTACCTCCGGAGACTAGCATCTTCACAGCAGAACTTTATGCTATTCTCTATGCTCTCCATCTCCTGTTTTATCATTGTCAATCTTCCTTTGTAGTTGTTGTTGTCTCTCGTAGTGCCCTCATGGCTCTTGGGTCCTTTACTCCGGTTCATCCAGTGGTTGTCGAGATCCAGCATTGGCTGTTTCTTATTCACAGTAAATTTAAGTCGGTTGAGTTTTGTTGGGTTCCCAGCCATATTGGTGTCAATTTAAATGAGCGTGCGGATGCTGCCGCCAGGGAAGCTGTCCACTCTTGTCCCGTCTTTCATAAAGGTATTCCTTATTCCCATTTTTACCCGGTTATCCATTCCTCCGTCCTTACCCGTTGGCAGGTTTGTTGGTCTTCTGTTACTGGAAACAAACTGCATACTCTTAAGAGTTGTGTTTCCTCGTGGCCGGCCTCCTACCACCATAACCGGCGATGGGAAACGGCTCTGGCGAGGTTCTGTATTGGCCATACTCGCTTAATTCATGGTCACTTGATGGAGCGCTGCCCTGCTCCTTATTGTCTAAATTGCATTGTCCCTCTTACTGTTGTGCATATCCTTGTTGAATGTCCTGACTTCCGAGACGAGCGTATGTCTTTTTTTCCGACCGTCCCCCGCGGTCGCTTGTCCCTCGATAGTATTCTTGGCGACTCGGATACTTTTTATATCTTTCACCTTGTGCGTTTCTGTTCTTGTATTGGCATCCTTGGTGATATTTAGCGCCCTCTGATTATCCCACACATTTGATGGTGCTACATAGCCTTCCCAGTTTGGTGCCTTCTTTTGATAATTACATACTTCTCATACACAATTCTTTGTTTGGCACAAGTATTCCTCTGTTTTTATTTCCTTCCAGATTCATTTCACAGTTTATTAGAACAGTTGACATAATGGGAGGAAATTCTCTCATCCACAAAATAATAAGAGTGAGGTAACTGGAGGGTTTTGTAATTCCAATACTTCTCCTAGATAAGGTAGCAAAATTATAGAGGAATCAAATAACATAGCTGTTGGAGAGTGTTAACTGCTAAATAACTTAGAAAAAGTAGAATAGTTTTCACCAGTCATACACATAAATGGAAATACTGTACAGGTATAATAAAGGTAAATAAATAGTATGATGTCCCACTAATAAATTATTTCACGTAGAATAAATAATGGTAATATAGCAAAATATAGATAACAGGTGACTAGACTGGCCATCCACTTATATTGGCACATTATAATGTATGTTCGTGAACACAATGTACCAGAGTTCACGAACATACACTATCATGTGACAATATAAGTGGATGGCCAGTCTAGTCACCTGTTATCTATATTTTGCTATATTGATTACCATTATTTATTCTACATGAAATAATTTATTAGTAGGACATCATACTATTTATTTACCTTTACTATACCTGTATAGTATTTCCATTTATGTGTATGATTGGTGAAAACTGTTCTACCTTTTCTAAGTTATTTAGCAGTCAACACTCTCCAACAGCTGTAATGTAATATATTGTAATGCAACAATTTAAAGTGATGTCACTCTTCACTGGGCTTGACCTTGTTAGGTGTCAGTTACCAGTTGGGAAATCATAAGTACCTGTACAGTTCTTTCATTTTATTCATCATTGTTGTGTTAATGTTAATGAGAGAGGAGTTAGGGATGCGGAAGTTCCCATTAAAATATTACCGGTAATGTGTACCGATTGTCTGATTGGACCAAGAAACAAAAGTATCAGCGCACAAAACATTAACAAGTAAAGAGCTCTACTGTAAAGAGCTCACCTCTACTACGAGGTGGGGCCTCGTAGCCTGGTGGTGGGGCCTCGTAGCCTGGTGGATAGCGCGCAGGACTCGTAATTCTGTGGCGCGGGTTCAATTCCCGCACGAGGCAGAAACAAATGGACAAAGTTTCTTTCACCCTGAATGCCCCTGTTACCTAGCAGTAAATAGGTACCTGGGAGTTAGTCAGCTGTCACGGGCTGCTTCCTGGGGGTGGAGGCCTGGTTGAAGACCGGGCCGCGGGGACACTAAAGCCCCGAAATCATCTCAAGATAACCTCAAGATAACTATCATTATAAGACGATATTTTTGAAAACACAATATAAACCTAAAATGCACCTACACAGCATTTAGGTGGGCACCTGATTACCACCATGTACCAGGGCGCCTGACAGCTGAGTGGACAGCGCGTCAGATTCGTAGTGCTGAGGTTCCGGGTTCGAGTCCCGGTGAAGGCGGAGACAAATGGACAAAATGTTTTTCACCCTGATGCACCTGTTCACCTAACAGTAAATAGGTACATGGGAGTTAGACAGCTGCTACAAGCTGCTTCCTGAGGATGTGTAACAAAAAGGAGGCCTGTTAAAGGACTGGTCCACTGGGATACTAAGCTCGAAAATCATCTCTTAAGATAACTCAAGATAACATGTAACATAATGGTTAAATCATGTCAGACATGTATAGACATTATTACATCACACACAAATGTTACTAAATATATAAATAGGCAAACATATATAAATTGTACACTTAGCATGAGTGTAAACTCTTTAAAGCTACAATATTAAGCTCTGAAGGAATAAAAATTAAGTAAAAATTACTAAAAATGTAATGGGGTAAAACTTATATCAGACGATAGAACACTTGCAGACCTGGCAGTGTCATTTTGGAAAAGGTGGTTGTTGCTCCTGTGGATAATTACTTGCAATGTAGAGGTGCTGGTTGTCTGTGGTGTGGTGATGCTGGTTCTCTGTTGCGTTGGGTATAGCTGGTTCTCCGTTGTTGGGTAGTGTTGGTTCTCCGTTGAAGAGTAGTTTTGGTTCTCTGTTGCGTTGGTTAGTGCTGGTGCTCTGTTGCGTTGTGTAGTGCTGGTGCTCTGTTGCGTTGTGTAGTGCTGGTGGTCTGTTGCGTTGGGTAGTGCTGGTGCTCTGTTGCGTTGGGTAGTGCTGGTACTCTGTTGCGTTGTGTAGTGCTGGTGCTCTGTTGTGTTGGGTAGTGCTGGTGCTCTGTTGCGTTGGGTAGTGCTGGTGCTCTGTTGCGTTGGGTAGTACTGGTTCTCTGTTGTGTGATGGTGTTTGTTCTCTGTTGTGTCATGCTGCTGATTCTCTTTTGTATGGTGATATTGGTTCTTTGTTGTGGGCGATGATGGTTCTCTGTTGTGATAAAGTTGGTAAATTTAAATAATAAATTTCTAAATTCTGAAATGAGTGAAATTGAAAACTATTGACCTACCGCATAATTAAGTTGACTATAAAGCCTTATATCTCGATTCAAGGTTCAAAATTTTTTACTGTACTTTTCAGAAGCAATTGTGTGTGTTACTTTTGAAGGTACCGGTGCTTTTACATTAGTGGCAGTTAACAATAGATTTGATTTTTTTATGAGCAATGTGTGTGTAATAAAACATGTTTTATGTTAGAAGTGCTGGTGTCAGTGTCAGTGTTCTACAGTGTTGTCTACATCATCAGTTTAGTTTGGGAGAATATATACACAAATTTTCTATAGATTAAAATAGTATGGCATGAAAAATTATTTTGATTTACTGTACTTAAATCTAACCCCACACTACTATATTATGGTGCTGATTCTCCTTGGTTGTGTTAAAAAAAAAGTTATTGATAATATATAATATTTCAGAATTATCTATAGTATTGCAGTAAACTTATTTATATAAAGTGACATCAAATCTTCTAATGATACTTTTACATTTTAATGTTTTATTTGTATATTCTTGTATGTTTCATTAAGAAAATGAAGGAAGCGCAGATGTTAATTGTTCGGATGAACTTAACAGGTCAGAGTGAGCACGACAGCTTAGTGTACCACATGAGTGAAGACAGCGGCCTGGGTCGTGCTACTCCACCTCGCCGTGCCCCTTCCCCGGGAATGGCACGTCACCTCCCTTCACCATCTGGTCCTGGCTCTTTACCTCCTGGTCTCTTCTCTAAAAGACGACAGGGAGGATTTGATGATGCGGCTAGCGATATCTCATCCACTGCTAGTTCCACAATGGACTATTTTGGTAAGATTTGTGGGGGTCTTGTAACACCTAGTGTTGCTATACAGTACGGTAAAAGTCATTGTGAGGGGTTGGAGGGTCATTCAATCTTTTATGCCTTATTTAAATGATTTTCCTTTAATGCTTTTCCAATAAGATTTAATATAAAAATCAATATACTATATAAATAACATCTATACTGTACTTCCAAAATAAATACAATTTATATAAGATATGAATAAAAACTAAAATTGGTTCTCAAATACAGTATATAAATTTATTGAATAAAAAATAAATCATTACTTGGAGAGGTAAGAATATTCACGTAAGCAACCTCGTGCCCGAGTCACGTCATACCTCAGATCCTTGGTAAACTCTCGTTACAGTAACCTGATGCTGGATTATTGACCTATTCTTCTTAAAATTCCAGAACATAGTGTTACATGTACAGTAAATTATAGACATTAACAGAGAAAAGAAACCAAGCAAATTACTCTGCAAATCATCCACCCAGTAGTTATTCAAATCACCCTAGTTACAGCTGAGCAACAAATGGCAGTACCACCAGCTGCTGCTGGCCCCCATGTCAACGCTCCTTGGTCCAGAGCTTGATGTTAAATAGTTTGGACTGCTGCTCAAGTCGCCAGCCTTGTAGGGCCTAACTGTTTCTAGATAAGTGTTGGCCTTCCTTTGACCCGGTCCAGTGGGGGTCTATTTGCTTGTTTAAAGTTTCTAGATTTAGTGTTTACTTCATGTGCATATGTTTACAAGCCTCACTTTGTGTAGACTTTGATAACTGTTCACAGTGAACTATATGTGCTTTGGGTTGCCCTTTCCTAAGCAGTCTTGTAGCAATGCCCCTGTCCTGACAGGATAACCTTTCTGTAGAGTTCAGGAGTTCATCTCAGAGAGGCGGGTCTACTGTGTAAGTTAAGTTAGGCTCAGGGTAGTGTTAGGGTTATTGACTCCTCTGTGAGGCTCTAAGGTTGGAGGCATAAGGGGTTCGCATGCTTGTATATATGGAATGCCGAGTCTATCCTAAAGGTTGCTTTTGGTGTCAGTTCTTCCAGCAAGCATTCCTAGTGCCTGGGTGTCCTGCTTGGTCTTTATCTTCAGGCTCTGGAAAGTCCAGTAGGTCTTTAGTGTGGCTCATTATGCATCAACCCATTGAGCCCACATTTGCTACTTATAAGTTGAGGGATGCCACCTCTGCTACCTGTAGAGTGAGTATTATCCCCTATCCTTAGGCCTGTGATGTTTGGGTTCACTTGACCTTTTTTCAGTAAAGCTTTTATCTTTTGGTTTCGTTTATTTTCTTCTGTAGTGACAAGACGTTGCAGGCAGTGGCCGCTTTTGGTTTGTTTGCCAATTTTGTTTTTTGTGGCTTGGTGCTCGAGTGTTTATCCTGAAGTTGACCCTTTTTGTATTTTGGGGTTTGCGATTGGAATGACTGGTGTTTCTACAGGTGCTATGTTCACTGCTCTTTTTTTCTTCGTGTTAGTCGGGCTTAGTCTGACAAAATCCTTTTAACTTGCCTTCTCTTCCCTATTGCCCCAGGCTCTAGGTCACCTATGGGTTTTGGTGTCCATGCTGCATTAGGCTGTGAGGTGTAGCTCAGCACTCTCCGGGAATCGCCCCTTTCCCTTCAATACTGGAGATAGTTGTTAACTATCCCTTTTCATTGTAGGTACCAAGGCTGGGGAAGTAGCCTGAGGTGGGTCCCTAGGTGTTCTTCAATCTTTCCTGTTCTCTCGTTTCCTCTGTGGAGGAGAGAGGAATTAAACTCGGATGAGGGATATTCTCTATCCTCCATTGACATTTGAACTTAATTCCTTGGCTGCTGCTCCCTGGGTTCGCTTCGGTGTGCCACTAGTTTGCAGCCAATGAGTCACAATAACGTGGCTGAAACTATGAAGATTATACCACACACCAGAAGATGAGAAGACAACGTTTCGGTCCATCCTGGACCATTATCAAGTTGATTGTGATGGGAATGAGGGAGACACGAGCATTAAGTAAGGCAAGAGAGAGGTGAAGAGAAGGAGACTTTTTATGATAAGGCAAGAGTAAGACAGATGGGATGGGGTAATATTGGGGTGTAAAAAAGGGGGGGTAATAATGGGATAAAAATGGAAATGTAAGACTAAGAGAAATAAAAAAAAATAAAAAATGGGGGTGTAGGCTTATGTTAGGCCATGTATGTTAGAAAGGATAGAGCATTTAAGTATGTATTGTGAAAGGGAAGAATCAGCAGCAACAAAGCCAGGACTAAGGTTCTTGTTGAGTATGTTGTGTATCGGAGCCGACTCGACAAGACGACATCTGTGAAAGAGTAAAGGCAGGAAAGATTATTTTAGAAGAAGAATAGGATGATTAGAATCTTTAACATGACTGAAGAGAGCATTGTTTGTGTCCTGCAGATTTAACATTTCTTTTGTGTTCCTTAAGTCTGTCATTTAGTGTATGGCCAATTCCCCCAAAATATTGGAGAGGACAAGACGAACAGGAAATAAGAGTAGACAGCAGCATTAGAAGCAGGAGCAGCAGTGTGAACCAGATTAGTACAAAAAGTATTAGTTTGGGGAAAGGAGAGCTTTATGTCAAGAGGACAAAGGGTATTAGTGAGATTTTTAAGTTTAGATATGAAAGTAAGGCATAGTGGTACTAGTGTGAAATTGGTTTGGGATGAAATAAATTTTGTTTAGCTTGAGAATAGGCACAGTTGATAAAATGTAAGGGGTAACCAAGGCATGAGAGAGAAGATTTGTAAATAAAGGAAATTTCATAATCAAGAAACTGGAGGGTTACTGATGAGTAGAGTGCAGAGGAAGAGAGAGACGAGAACACTTTCCTTAACAGGAGGAGGATGGTAGGAAAAAGAAGTGAATGTACATACATGCATGGGTTTGCAGTAGACAGAAAAAGGTAACCCGGACACAGTGTTGTGAACATGAACGTCAAGAAAAGGAAGGAGGGAATTAGATTCCCATTCAACTTTGAAATGGATAGGAGGAGTCAGATTGTTAAGAGAGGAGAGGAAAGGCTGGACAAGACTAAGGTAATGAGGCCATAAAGCAAAAATATCAACATAGTGAAGCCAGAGAGAGGGACGAGTATCAATAGTGGAAAGAAAAATGGTTTTGAAATTTTCCATGTAGAGATTGGCAAGAACAGGGGAGAAAAGGGAACTCATAGCGACACTGAAAGTTTGTAAGAAATATTTACTGTTGGAAAAGAAGGAGTTAGTCAACAGTCTAATGAGATCAAGGAAATGTCAGTATGAAGCGGGAGATGAAGAAGACCCTCAGTTGCCTTATCACTAAGGAAAGAGAGAATGTCATCAAGGGGAACATTAGTAAACAGAGTCGACATCAAGACTAAACATTTTTTAGGAGGGGTGTAGGCGCAGTCTATCTATGACTGCGCCTACTGAGAGTCGTGAGATTCTACTACTATTGAGAGATTCTGAGAGTACCTTGTCCCGTCAACAGAGCCCCTTGAGGAAATGATAGGATGAAGAAGAACACTAGATTAATCTATGCAATATCCTATTCCCCATCATTTTTGACACTGCTTGCCTCTACTCTTACCACCACTCCTCCACACTACACAACAAACTTCGTCTGATTTCCAACAGTGCTTGGGCTAAATACTCTCTCTCTGACTGTGTTACCAACCTTTCTTCTTCACCTCTCTCTAAGCACCAGCAAGAACTTCTCGGACTTGGCATTCTTTTGCTACTTCCTCTGGCCCTCGCTGTGGCTTGACCTCATTAGGTCCTTTGATAAGTTTGCCAATTCTAACTCTAGTACTCTTTTGAACCTATCTGCCTTCAGGGAGGCCCTTATTCCCATTCTTGACAGTTTTTCTAAAAATCACCACCTTCCTCATCATTTCCATTTTGCCCTTGCCTCCCTGAAAGCTAACAACACTCTTCTAATCCTTCCTTCCAACAAAAGCAATTCGGGGGTTGTCCTTGACCGTGTGGACTACCTCCAGAAAGCTGATGTCTTGCTCTCTGGCCTCCCACACATGCTACTCTGACATCTAACCCTTTGGATCGCCTTAAAACGTCCTTCAACCATAAACTAAGACAGCTCTCTAGTCTTTATCCTCCTGACTTCAATCTAATAAAACATTTCCGTAATATCTGCCCTTCTCTTTCTTATTTTGATGGTCTACCTAAGACTCATAAACCTGGTGTTCCTCTTTGTCCTATCATTTCTTCAAGAGGCTCTGTTGGCTATCCTCTGGCCTCCTGGCTTGTTAAAACTCGAACTCCTTATTTCTATGCTAAGTCCCAATTTTCTTCTTCTCCTTGGTTAATTAGCTTCAGAGAGCCTCTGTTTGGCCCCTCCAGGAAACCAGCATTAAATGTAATGAAATGCCTCTTTCTGGTTGGGCCTCAGTGGCTCCTTGGTCTCTCCTCCCAATCAGGTGCATCAATTTGTTGTCCTTGGCTTCAGACTGAGCAGTGTTGACATGGGGAGCTGGCAGCTTCCAGTGGTACTGCCACCTGTTGGTGGTGAGCTGTAACTAGGGAGAGTTCGAACTGGCTACTGGGTGGATCGTTTGTGGAGTAGTTTGCTACTCTTTCTTTAATCAGGTTAATCATAACAATCCCCTGCTCCCTGTGCCTCTGAGGAAGCAAGGTCTGCCTTTAATCTCCAGTAGGCCATTAAGGATTTGTAGGGCCGATTTGATTTGTGTGTAGAGCTATCACATTGTGGCTAGCTTCAGGGATCCACTGAGGCCCAACTAGAAAAGGTGTTTCATTATTCATTGTGTTTTTTTTTTTTTTTACAGGTCCTAAATTATTCAAGCAACCAACTGCAAAGTCCAATAGAACAATCATTCTTAATGCAGTTGAATATTGTGTCTTCCCGGGGATGGTGAATCAGACAGCTAAACACAGAGTTCTAGAAGAAATTGCACGTTCCGAGTCGAAGCACTTCCTTGTCTTATTCCGAGATTCTGGTTGCCAGTTCCGAGCCATTTATTCATTTAATCCAGAGACTGAAGAGGTCTTCAAGCTGTATGGTACAGGCCCTAAACAAGTTAATGATAGAATGTTTGACAAATTCTTTAAGTAAGTGAGCTTATTATTCTTATCCTCTTAATGATGTTTGATGTCATTATAAATGTTAAGTTCTATATACCATATTTGTTTTATGAAATTTTATGAAAAAAAAAAAAAAGTGCGACATACAAAATATATTTTGAACATCAATTTACATACTGTATTTTCAAAAACTTAATAATGTTGTTTATTCTTTCTTCACAGATACAACTCTGGAGGAAAATGTTTCTCTCAAATCCATACTAAGCACTTGACTGTGACTATTGATGCGTTTACCATCCATAATTCTCTCTGGCAGGGCAAGCGTGTCAACCTTCCCTCCAAAAAGGACATGACACTTGTAATTTAAGTTTCCTGAAAAATCAGATTCTCGTTTACTAAACCCACATACAGTATATTTTGGTACTCATACATGCACTGTGAGAATATGCCTTGTGTGGCTCTGCTGCTCCAATTGGGCTCTCAGCAAAATATTTGAGTGTTTTTATACAGAGTTTTAATTCAGAGTGTAGATAATGGTATGCTGCTATTAAGGAAAATCCTCGTGTGTGGGCTTGCATAGTTTCGAGACGCTGAAATTTTTTTGTTTTGTACTGAGGAATTCCTCTCAACGGGTGAATTTTTTAGGATAAATATGCCATTTTTTGTGTGAGACAGCAAGCCTTTTCCTCAACATTTGCTCACACAATTATTTCCCCCCAATACTAGCCTTAAAGCATTTAAAGGTTTTGGTTGTGGCTTCGTTGGTCAGTATAACCAATTAGTCAGGTTGTTTACAAAACAGAATTTGTTAGTGGTGGCTCTTGGTCACATACAGGGCTTGGTGGTAATTCTACGGCAGCCATCTCCTGTATGCTGGGAGCAGTTTATAAAAGAAACTGGAAATGGGGGAAATAGAGAGTAGAGAGTTTTATCAAGAATGGGAACAAAAAAGAAAGTAATTTAGGCCAAATTATTTTCAGTGTGGTTAAAAGCTTGCCATCAGCTTGCACTGTGACATGACCATAAGGTTTACTTGATATCCTGCCATTAGCAGCCTTCATTTATAATTGTGTATTATTAATAATTATTGGCAAGTGCCCCATTTCAAGCCAAATAAATATGTTCATAAAAATTAAGACTTGGGAAATTGTGTATTGGGATGTGATTTTTCTGGGTTTTCACAGATGTTAGGGTTGATTTTAGTCACTGGTCATTCCTGTGTCTTGTGTTAATCTGGAGAGACAATTCTTGCTGATGATGGAGGGGGGATTCTGGGTTCTGTCTTTTACTCCCTCTATGAATTCTCCCGATCACATCCCTTTGGATGGGATAGTACATTTTAGGATCTTAATTTAAATTTGCCATTACCCATAAGGGGTGCCATAATGTTAGAATTGAAGATAAATGTGAAGATTGTTACTTAATTAAAAAAAAATTTGCAACTGTTGGAAAGCAAACGTCATGAAGTTGAAGATGTGAGATCAGCAGGGCACGTAATTTGTTTGCAGTGTTAACTAATGCAATTCCATATAACATTCGCTTCTCGTACTAAATCTGTGATTCTTGTGATCGTTAGGTAAGACTTGCATCAGGCATATGTAAGTAGCATCTCCATGTATTTTTAGAACGTATGTAGCTTTCAGGAAAAGAAAGAAAAACTAAAAAATACCTGGTTGAAGCTAGCCTTGCTTGCATAATCCTGACGATACAATTAATTCCAACTTGTCTAGATATAAAGTATAGTGTTGAACTTGTATATATTAGAATGTGATAGGGAAAATGATGTTGGATTGTGGAAACATTCCTGGTTTTCCCAAATACTCACAAAGAGACTGTATATGTGAACAAAAAGATTTCCATAAGTTTGAAGAGTTTCCATAGCTTTTGTACTAAGGAATGTTTATTTTCTTTCTTTATTTTTTTCTTGTGTATGTGTGTGTGCATGCATGCGTGCGTATGTGTGTGTTACTTGTCTTGTAACCAACAGTTAAATATGTAGCTTACATGACATCTTTATTTCTTCATTGATATCATCTCATATGTTAATAATTTGTTACATTTTAAATCCATTAGATCTCCAGCTAAAGAAATTGGTCATATTTACATTATACAAATTTGTATTGTTAATGTGTACTGGAGAGAGGGTGCTCATACATTCAATTATGTATATTAACTAATGATGTATATGGTATGAAGATTAACACAACAATAAATCTAACAGCAATCTCTTGAGTGAGTGATAGCTTGTTGTCACATTAATGGCATACAATAACTATTGTAATCAAATATATCCTGTGCATATTTACACATTTACATGTATGCAAGAACGAGGGAGTGAATGTGCAAAAGAGAACATTCTTTGCAATGTTGATTCTGCTGCTATTGTTAACTAGTGTGGTTGACATTAAAATGTGAAGCTGGTTTACAGCGAGAGTTGACTGTGTATGCTATAAATGTTGCAACAATCTAGAGCACACTACAGAGTAATTGTCTGTAATTGTTTGCCTTAATGTTCAGAGAGATCCATGTCATAGGAATACCTGACCAGGTCAAACTTGTACCATAATGTGATCACATTAGGTAGCTGGACTAACGGGAAATACTTCACATAGAAAAGTAAGTTTGGATGTACAGTATATGAGGTTTCTTCGGCTTTGTTAGTTGATGTTTAGTTATTCTACTTGAGCAGGAAAACTTGTAACACCTTGAGGTATGGCTCATTACATCTCATAATTCTTGTTAAAGTAGATGAGTTTGTTATGATTGAAGTAAAAATGTCCAGCTATTTATTTTTTGTAATTATTTACAAAGTACTACTTATATTGACTTTTGTACCTGGATGAAAAATGTTACTGGAGCAAGCTTTAGACATATTGTCTACTAAGGGTAGATGATACTGGGTCTCCATGAATGTCGAGGTTGACAAGGTATTCCTTGCTGACTCTACTTGCTTTGGTTTAGTGTGACCATGTGTACATATTGTTTTATATTTATTCCCAACATCTCAAAATGGGGTGGGCTTATAGAAAACTCCCATGTCTGCTTGTTATTAATGATAACAATAAATTCAGTCTTTTTTTCAGAATTAAAATTTTCTTTATCCTAATAATTAAATCCTGCATTTGTTGCTTTAATATATATCTAGTATATTTTACTCAGTCTGTTTTCTCTAACACTTTCGCGTGTTCGTGCCGCTCGAGAGCGGCACCAATTTTTCTCGAGTCCGCGTAATGGACTCGCTCACGAGTCACAAGAAAAAATATTTCTATATACATATATATAGATTCTTTATACATATATATTATATATATATAATATTTCTATATATTTCTATTTCTATAGACTTTCGATACTTTTATAGATCACCAGTTCCACTTACTGGAAGGGTGGCCCTTGTAGAATAGTTAGGTGTTTGGGACAGGGAGCATGGAAAAGTGGGTCTATATACCAGTGTGAGCAAACCTTCATGGCAGAATCCTCCACAGTTAAAAAATCAGAAGCTCCATTGGAATTTGGGTACCCTGCCCTTCATCAGCATGCACTCTGCCTGTGATGGTATGGCACTTGTGTATTTTGTTGTCCTGTATTCAAGGTCTTGTAGTTTTCAGTATTGAAAATTATTTGCCAGTCTTTGATCATTTGTGGCATTCATGTAGATCGTTCTGTAAGGCCTCAAGTTTTTCTTTTTTTCCTACATTATCAGAATTGTTTGTCATGTACAAATTTGATGATATGGATCATTGCTTGACTGAGGCAATACTTACACACACACATTGGGTTTTTTTTTTTTTTTCTTTACAAAAATAGGATTGCCCTAAAATAGAACCTGTAATATTCCACTCAACATTTTTCCAAATTCTGTTCCATTTAGGACACTCCTTTGCTTTCCTAAATTAATTAAATATAATAATAATTTGTTCTTTATTGCTCAGTTTATTTATATTTTTTACATTTTTGTGTAATACTTTAATTATATAATCAATAGGCCAACTGTTCTATTCACAATAAAGGTATGTACTGTACATAACTTTTACTTTTAATTTTGTTTATTAGGGTTATGTATTTGTATTAACTTTTTCATTAATGTTCCATAACATTTGTTATTAGTTCTAATAAAGGCTATCCATTTTATACATTACCCTCACATTGCAAGGCAGGAAACCCACCCCTGCTGAGAAAATGGCCAACAGCAGAGAAAGGCATGTGGTGGGCCATGAAGCCAGCACTGCATCTTCAACACAGTAACAAAGACAAGCTAGCTGAAAAAAGCATACATTGGCAGGTGTGAAATCTGGCCATGAAGAGAGGAAAGCGTTTTTTCCCCCCATGTAGAAAAAGGCTTCCTGCACAAGCCCTAAGCCTCTGGTCTGCCTTAGTGTTACTCATTTTTGTCTGTCTTTGGCAGTGGCTGAATATTCATGACTCATATGTTGGCTTCAGTAACATTATTTCCAATGTATTTGGCAGCAACTTCTGGGCTGTTAAATCTTGCTTGAAATCATATTTGGTTTATACCTACATTGTTTTAAATAATGTTCCAGTAGGCTGCTTGATGATGAACCAACCAGCTGAGATGTCGGCTGTCTACTTGGGTAGGAAAAGAGCAAAACTTGCAGAAAGAAAACACATGATCACAGACGTGAAACCTATCTATGCAGGGAAGGCCAACCAGCTGTGTGGTTAGGGTGGGAGGTTCCTATAGCATCATTGGCCTTCCTTCATGTAGGGTAAAAAAAAAAAAAAAAAATGGTGGAAAATCCCACATGGCCCGACCAGGTTAAGTGCAAATGTAATGCTGAGAAAGGTCAGCTGGGTGAGAGGCTACAGTCATGGTCAGTGGCCTCTTGTACGAGAAAAGAAAGCAAAATGCACAGGGTCAGGCAGGAAACTCTGCATGTGGGTAAACTGTGAGTAATTGTGACAAGTAATCAAAGATTACCAATAATGATTATAGAAATTAAGAGTAAACAGATATAGAGAGGCATGATAAAACTTTAACTAGCATTTGTAACATGAATACCACCAAAGGCCCCCAGCATCAGAAGGAATGCGTATATTCTTAAAGGACAGGTGAGTTTTATGGCCAGTAACCTTTGGGAGCTCATTAGACTTTTCTGAAGGATTGACTTGAACAAGTCTGTTAAAATAATCCCAGTGCATGAGCAATCAAGCAACGACAGAATAATACCTAGAGGAAAACTTTGTATGTGGTTGCAGTTTGCGAGGTAGAGCACTGTCAGGCCATGGGCATCACCTTAGACTTGCACACCTTGTTAGTAACCTACACAGTACATTTCAGAACAACTAAAAAAAAAAAAAAATGGACTTGACTAGGTTCACATGTCCAGGTAGGAACATGGTGTTTATGTATATACTTGTATGTATACTTCTGGAGGGGCTGAATGGGTGGCTCCCCTGTAGCAACTGCACTGAGGTAGCTCCACGCCTATAAATCACATAACTCTGTCAAGACCTTAATAGCCTACCAGAGCCCAAAACCTGATTCCCTCCCTCTCCTCACAAAAGTGTAAAGAGCAGAGATTTGCTGACCACCCTCACTGAAGAAACAAATCCCCAGAAAGGAAGCGAAGCAAAACCATGGCAAGGTTCACAACGTAAATAAACCATGCAATAAATGACTGCAAATGATGCACCCAGTAGCTAGGTCATACACCCCCTAGTAACAGCTGACCACCACCAGGTGGTAACTGTAGGAGCTACTAGCTCCCCATGTCAACAATCATCAGACCACCATCTGACATCAGATGTGTCAAACAACTCCACGAATCACCAGCTCTTTGGGTTCCAGATTTTCTAGGTAAGTGTTGGCCTATTTTTGGATGCTGTCCTGTGGGGCTCCATTTGCTTGTGTATTGTTTCAATATTTAGTTTTTGTGTCGTGTGTGTGTCTTTACAAGCCTCATGTATTCTGTGGACTTTGGAAACTGTTCACCTCAAGCTGCATGTGCCTAGGGCAGCCCATCCTCCAAACAAAGACCCAAAAGTGATTCCATGCACCCGCCAAACCTCTTGTTCATGGATGAAAAACGGTTTACACACACACGACTTGCAACTGATATCATTCAAACACTTCCAGAACAAATGCTTCACTGGCGAATTTTGTTCGAAGCACAGCGATGTATATGCTTCACCCACGTACTACAAATAATCGCCGACAGAACCTAAATACCTTACCTAACCTAACCTATGCCTATATATGCACAATATGCTAATATATTATAATATTAATTTATATTTGAGAAAATTCCCATTTTGAATGAACAGCAAGTAAAAATTTATGAATACGTCTGTGGGGTCGACTGCTGGATGTAATGGACTTGAGTCAAGCATGGGTTGGCCTAGGGCAGCCCTTTCCTAGGCATTCATTTGGTGTTGGCCATGCAAGGTGCAGGGGCAACAAGGTTACTTTCCTGGTGTGTTTATATTTTTGTCCCATTGAAGCCAGTCTCCTTTGGAGGGTGCCTAACTCTTAAGTAGTGTGAGGGGTCTTTGACTCCTCTGCTAAATTCTGAGGATGAGGACATCTTGTGGCTATTAAGACCATTTTGTGGCCTTTCTTTGCTAGGAAAGGCCACAAAATTTTTCTTTCTTGGCCTTAATTTACTAGGATTCACTTGCCTGTACATATGGCACATGCTGCTGATACCATACCCACCTACATTTTCTTTTATGTTATGTATGGTCTCAGTGTTCATCAGTTTTGCTACATACTGATGTACATTTGTACTGTTTCCTATGCCACATCTTGAGCGAGTCCTCATATCCAGGGACCTGTGACATTTGGGTTCACTGGGTCTCTATTTTTAGCTGAAACCTACAGGTACTGATTTTTTTTATTTTGTTATTGTAGTGACAAGGCTTAACAGGTGTCAGCCACTTTGGGTTTCTTACCCGTTTTTGTTGTTTGTGGCTTGGTGTTTGAGTGGTTGTCCAAGAGTCAGTCCTTATTATTTTTTAGGGATTTGGAGTTGGAGTTTTTGATGTATTCTACTGGTTTTTTGCCACTTTTCAGGTGTCTGCCTGGCTTTTTTTTTTCTTTTTTTTTAAACAAGTGAATACAGGACAAATGACTTCTGACTTGGGTTAGCAGGCTTAAAACTTTCCCTTCCTATAGCTTATGGTAAGCCTTATCCACTAGTTTTCCATAGAACACAATCTGCCAATCGGTTAATGACCAGGTCCCAATTACAGCTAGGTGAATAAGGAGCAAACATTTAAGGATTGGCATCCAGAGAATCTGGATGCCAACTGCCAGACAGTCTTCCCTGGCTAGAACTTGAACCCAGACCAAATTGCTTGTGAAGCACAGGTTGAGTGTGCCAGCTGTTACCACTGCGTCAGCTGTAACTAGGGAGGGGTTTCACCTAACTGCTAGGTGGATCATTTATGGAGTTGCTTGGTCTCATTTCTTTATTTTCTGTGAAATTTGCAGTTCTTTATTTTCTGTGAAACTTGCAGTTCTTTTTCTGTGAACCTTGCAGTTGTCTGTTTTGCTTTGCTAACTTTCTGGAAATTCTTTTCGGTAAGAGTCCCGTGCTCCCCGGGCCTCTGTGAGGAGGATCAGGTTCTGCTCTGGTCTCCAGTAGGCTATTAAGATCTCCAGTACAGTTAGCTACAGGGAGCCACCATTTGGCCTTCTAGTAAAGTACCTAATTTTTATTTCTAGTTATCTATGCCCCTTCTCTCGACTGCTCCATGCCCAAACAAAGCTACTTTGTCTACATTATCAATTTCTTTGTCTTACATATACGGTAGTTATCAGGTTTCCCATACTCCTCTCCTCTCCTCTCCTCCAGTGTGATGGGGTCTAGTTTTGTCGTTCCTCATAGCTCAAGCCCTTTAGCTCAGGAACAAGTTGTGTATATCTGGACTTTTTCTGGTTTTGATGACCTTTTTAGAAGAGGGTTCTATGGCAGGGATGTGCATTCAAGAGTGGGTCTTGCCTAGATTATGTATCATGCAAAGAAAATTTGTCTTAGTCTCTGCAACCTACATGGATGTTAGGCAGTTAGGCATTAGAGTTATGTCTAGTCCTAGGTTTTTTTTCCATTCATTCTATACAGC